TTATGATTTTTTAGTAAGCTAAGATATTTATTTAAAAATGCTAAATGTATTGAAAAAATAGTAAGTGAGAGTTAACTTTGTAAAAATTAACTTACAAATTTTTTTAAAATACGTCATTTTTAAAAGAAATGGTATAAAAATATTTTTCTTATAAAATGTTTTACTTGATTTTTGTTCAACCAAACAATGAAAAATAAATACAATATTTTTGACAAAAATATTTTAGTCCAAATAAACGGAGTTTAGGCATAAACTATACACCTAATTCAGAAGATAAAGTAATATTCCTAGTTTATCTTTATTAATATATATCTACAAGCATTCAAAATTAAAAGGATTGTTCTATAAGAATATCATTGTTTATTACTATGTAACCCCCAAAAAATAAATATAATTGATTAATATACGCCGTAAGACGTGAAGTGTCGGGTTTGAAGGTGTCCAACTCGAGTTTCTAATTTATTTTTGTCAACAGAAAAATAGTTTACGTAAAAAAAATTTTTTATTTTAAAAAAAAGGGCTTAATGAGAGTTGATTGTGAAACTAGCGTCAAAACATAATTCATATGGAGATTAAATTATGAAAAATTCCTTTTTTTGGTTTCAAAAAAAAAAAAAAAAAAGGCACTACATAACATGAGCAAAACGTGGGCTTACTGTAATTTTGTTCCTATCCACTCTAGTAAAACTATATAATCTGTAATTTTATTTTTATTTTTCTTAATCATCAATTAATTATCTCTTCTTATACATAACTGGATCTAAAACGTAAATTAAAAAAAAAAAAGACTTTTGCATCATTTTTCTTTCACTTTTCTCCTTCCCATGAAACCCACCCATGAATCATCAATTGTAACCTCGCATCCTTTTCGTTGAAGCCCTTCCCCTCCAAAATTCATGGCTGAGGGTCTTAAAATAAATTATGTGTTTAAACAGTCCCAGCTTAACATTAAACTATTAAAGTCACTAAAAACGACAATTAACTTTCAGGTTGCTCGAGTTTTGAGAGTGGCGAGAGTGACGGATTTGAGAGTAGTTTAATCGATGAAAATGTATTTCATTAAGGTTGTGTTTGGTTAAAGGATTTGATAAAAAAAAAAAATAGAAAGGAAAATAAAAATAAAAATAAAAGAGAGAGAGAGAGAGAGAGAGAGAGAAAATTGATAGGATTCGAATTCGAAACTATATTTAGTTGGGTTGGGAAATGAAGAAAGAAAATAGCCTAAGGCTGTGTTTGGTTTATAAATTTAAGAAGAGATTTAGAATGTGAAAAGGAAGATATATGTAATGTAGTTATATTTCGTTCACATTTTATTTATTTTTTCACTTTCCCTTTTCAAACTTCTATCCAAATCTATATACCAAACATAACTTAAGTGAACTCAAAAAACAAAAAAAGAAAATGCTTTTTCCTCACTTTCTTTTCCCATGTGTTTTCCTTTATTATCAAATAAAAAGTGAAATTACATTTCAATTTTTTTTATTTCTTTCATCAAATCCTCTAACTAAATCCAGCTTCAACGATTTAAATTCTCTCTTGCGCACTAAATTATCAAACCTAAATATTCTAAAACTCATTAATGTCGAATTCTTACTCCTCACCTCTTACAAAATTTGAACTAAAGACAAACCAAACTCAAAAAATTTAAAAGGAAATACATATCAACAAAATTTTGAAAAAAATATTACAAATTAATAGTAAATTTTATAAATATTAATAATTGAAATCATAATTTTTTTTATTAATTTATAATAATTTTTTCAAACACCACTTGCAAATATTTTCCTCAAAAATTTATATGGACTCTAGTGGATTAGCCACGTTGGTATGCCAAACTCTAGTGGATTAGCCACAATGTGTGGATTTCATCTCTCATCACTTAAAGATAGAACGATGAGAATCTCATATTCAACAACAATAGTATTATAAATTCATTTTTATCTTCATTCATGGTTAACAATGAAAAAGTTTTTGGCAACAAAATTTTACTTTCATGATCATGAAGATATATTGTCATATACAAATCAAGATACTTCTATGGAGTTGGTAAACATTGCCATGAAATTGTAGTTGAAGAAGAAAAAAATTTGCATCAAAATATTATTTGTGGTGATATTGGTTGTAAAACTAATAAAGAAGATACAAAATCTTGTTCGAGTGTTAATAATGCATCAACACATGGTAATTTGAATATTGAGGAGAAAGTTTTACAAACAAATCATAAAAATATTAAAGAAGAAGGAGATCTGATTGAGACCAGTAACAAAGAGAAAACAGAAGAAGAGATAATACAACCGTTGTGTGCAAAAAAGAAATCGGTTGATGCTACACTTGATATTCCAAGGTTGATAGTTGAAGGATCAATTGAATCTGAGATGGTGCAACATCAAGAGAGCATACAAGTTCTACACAAAGTAAATTTGGTTGATTTTCTTGGTATAGAGCAATTTAATTTGATTTTCAATGCTTGTTTAATTAATTTTGTCAACCAGTTGAAGCATATAGAGAAGAACCTTTAGAAAGAAAACTTTCCTATATACAACTTTTGGAAGAGGGGCAAGCAACAGAAAAATTCAAAATATCTGTTTATTTGGCATGGAAGATGGCAGATCTCTAATATGAACTCAAGGGCGAGTTCTTTCAAAGAAGAGGAGACTGATGTAAGACGAGATTTTAAGGCTTTTTGTATTGTTAGTTTTAATATTTTTTATAAATTATTTTATTAGGAATCTTGTAATTTAGTATAAATAATTTAGAATTATTAGGTTTCTTAATTTTATTATTTTAGAATTAGATTTTGACTAAGTTTTTAAGTAGTTAAGAATTCTAGTTTCCTATTCTCTTAGGTCTCCTAATTTATGTTGATTTAACTTTCCTAGTTTATTTTCGAATTATTTTTCCTACAAGTATTAGATTTAGTTTATTATAAATAGCTATGTAAGCCTCATGGCAAAGACAACTTTTATACAACTTTTATTCATTCATTCAATAATATTTCTCTTCCTTGTGGATTTAAGGTTCTATTTTTCTCGTGGATTCGAGAGCTCTTTTCGTCTACTAGAACGATATCTAGTCCCCGTGTATTCCGCTGCGTCACCCACCCATGAATCATCAATTGTAACCTCGCACCCTTTTCGTTGAAGCCCTTCCCCTCCAAAATCCATGGCTGAGGGTCTTTAAAATAAATTATGTGTTTAAACAGTCCCAGCTTAACATTAAACTATTAAAGTCACTAAAAATGACAATTAACTTTCATGTTGCTCGAGTTTTGAGAGTGGCGAGAGTGAGGGATTTGAGAGCAGTTTAATCGATGAAAATGTATTTTATTAAGGTTGTGTTTGGTTAAAGGATTTGATAAAAATAAGAAATAGAAAGGAAAATAAAAATAAAAATAAAAGAGAGAGAGAAAAAAAAAAAATTGATAGGATTCAAATTCGAAACTATATTTAGTTGGGTTGGGAAATGAAGAAAGAAAATAGCCTAAGGCTGTGTTTGGTTTATAAATTTAAGAAGAGATTTAGAATGTGAAAAGGAAAATATATGTAAAATGTAGTTATATTTCATTCACATTTCACTTATTTTTTCACTTTCCCTTTTCAAACTTCTATCCAAATCTATAAACCAAACATAACCTAAGTGAACTCAAAAAACAAAAAAAGAAATTGCTTTTTCCTCACTTTCTTTTTCCATGTGTTTTCCTTTATTATCAAATAAAAAGTGAAATTACATTTCATTTTTTTTTTATTTCTTTCATCAAATCTTCTAACTAAATCCAGCTTCAACGATTTAAATTCTCTCTTGCGCACTAAATTATCAAACCTAAATATTCTAAAACTCATTACTGTCGAATCCTTACTCCTCTCCTCTTACAAATTTTGAACTAAAGACAAACCAAACTCAAAAAATTTAAAAGAAAATACATATCAACAAGATTTTGAAAAAAATATTACAAATTAATAGTAAATTTTATAAATATTAATAATTAAAATCATAATTTTTTTTATTGATTTATAATAATTTTTTCAAACACCACTTGCAAATATTTTCCTCAAAAATTTATATGGACTCTAGTGGATTAGCCACGTTCGTATGCCAAGTAAATCATTAGAGGAGCCAATGTGTGGATTTCATCTCTCATCACTTAAAGATAGAACGATGAGAATCTCATATTCAACAACAATAGTATTATATTTATCAACTTAGAATTTATTTTAAAAAAAATATTAATTTAAATTTATTTTACTCATAAATTACATATTTTATTAAATTAATTTCTATCACACAAACATTTGTCATCCAAAGCTGAAAATCCACGCATTCGGCATAGGCATTAGGTAGACGACAAGAGACAGACCAACTCCATTGAATTATTGCCCGTTTGCTTATCATCTTTGGCTAAAAAATTAAAAATAAATAAAAAATAAAAAAGTCAAAAAATTATCGAAAGACAAAAAAAAAAAAAAATTATCATTCCAAAATTAAAAAGTCAAAAAATCCAAATAAGAAAACCAAATAACTAAAAAAGTCTGAAACTAAAATAGTTAAAAAAAAAAAAAAAAAAAAAACTCAATTAAAAAAATCATTGGGAAACGAGCTTAATCAGCAATTGTCCATTAAACTTGTTTGCTGTGTTTAGCTTCCTCGTATAAGATTTGTCAGAAAAGCGGTATTATAAAAAATCTTTCATGAAAATAATCATGAAAATTTTGTGATTCTTGAATTACACTTAGAATAAAGTATCACACACTAATCAAGATAATCCAAGAATCATAACTCTTTCATGATCATTTTCATGAGAAAATTTTCATAATCCTTAACTTTTCTCTTGTCAGAAACAAATATCATCAAGCTGTGACAATTCGTCACCACTAACGTCATAGACTCCATGAATGTCAATCAACCTCCTTGTAAATTTCGTCACCACTAACGTCAAGTTTCCATCCCTAGCTCTAATCTGCATGCATATAAAAACCTCTTTAACTCAATTCAAATTCACTCACCCATCAAACACTCACTTCTAATACTCAAACGAGTTCCAAGAACTTGTATACTGATATATCGTCTGATATTGACTGATATGGATCATCATTGGCGAATACTCATGGTGACCTTTCCCGGTCAAGGCCACATTAACCCATCTCTCCAATTCGCCAAACGCCTCATAAAAATGGGCGTTGAGGTCACCCTCCTAACAGCCTTCTCCGCCCTCAATCGCATGTCGAAAACCACCCCTAATCCACAAGGCTTAACCATGGTGGGTTTCTCCGATGGCTATGACAATGGCTGGACCGACAAATATGATATCGAACACCTTATGTCTGAGCTCAAGAGATGTGGTTCGGAGGCGGTTCGAGCCCTCGTCACTTCTAGCTTCGACAAAGGCGAACCTTTTAGCCGTGTGGTGTACACCACTCTCCTCCCATGGGTAGGCAAAGTGGCTCATGATCTTCAAATCCCATCAACATTTCTATGGATTCAACCAGCCACAATCTTGGATGTTTACTACTATTACCACAATGGTTATGCCGATTCGATTAGAAGCCTCGGCAATGAGCCCTCAAGCTCAATTGAATTACCCGGATTGCCACCTCTCGCTAGCCGAGACCTCCCTTCTTTTCTAGTTGTTGCAAACGTGTACAATTTCGTTGTTCCACTGTTCAAAGAACACCTAGAGGTACTCGATGAGGAAACCAATCCGAAAGTACTCGTAAACACGTTCGACGCATTGGAAGATGGACCCTTGCGAGCTGTCAAGAGGCTCAACTTGGTCGGTGTGGGACCGTTAATCCCATCCGCTTTCTTAGATGGAAAAGACCCATCAGACACTTCTTTCGGAGGAGATTTGCTTCAGAAATCAAGCGATTATATTGAATGGTTAAATTTAAAGCAAAAAGAATCGGTTGTTTACGTATCGTTTGGAAGCTACTCCGTGTTGTCGAAGCAACAAATGGAGGAGATTGCGCGAGGATTGTTGGAAAGCGGCAGGCCATTTTTATGGGTGGTGAGGCCGGAGCAAGATGGAGAGCAATTGAGTTGCAAAGAGGAATTAAGGAGACAAGGGATGATAGTGCCGTGGTGTTCGCAAGTTGAGGTTCTTTCGCACCCGTCTTTGGGATGTTTCGTCACTCACTGTGGGTGGAATTCTTCGTTGGAGAGCTTGGTTTCGGGGGTTCCAGTGGTGGCTTTTCCACTTTGGACCGATCAAGGGACGAATGCGAAGCTGATTGAAGATGTGTGGAAGACTGGGGTGAGAGTGGTGAGAAATGAGGAAGGGATTGTTGAGAGTGATGAGATTTTGAGGTGCATAGAATTGGTGATGGGAGGGGAAGAATTGAGAAGTAATGCTAAGAAGTGGAAGGATTTGGCAAGGGAAGCTGCAAAGGAAGGTGGATCGTCGGATTTGAATCTTAAAGCTTTTTTGGAAGAAGTCAGAGAGTGACAGAGTTCTGAAGTGGATTGAACAAGTTCAAAGAAAATAGTCCTGTTTGATTGATAAGATGGGGTTCATTAATGGTTCTATACTATTTTGTTGTGTTTTGTAATTTGTGGGTCAATTATTCGATAGGTAAGGTACGTGTAGGGTTTGATTTTCCTTCTATACCATATTGTTGTATTACTTAGAAGTGTCAATTGGCACACTATAGATTTGTAGTCTTTGAAATTTTAATGAAAATAAGATAGTTATTAACTTTTTATAGTTATCAAAAATTGTGTTGTACGTGTTTGGACTTAGTTGGTTACTACATACTAGATCCCTTACCACATGTAGACTCGTAAAATTGCAATTAAAATTATTTTCTTTTTCTTATTTTTTTTTATTTGATTTAATTTTAATAATTCAATTGATAATTAATAGTCTCAAAAGTGAAGTGCACATGGTCCAATTATGACGTGATGATGTGTTTAATAGTATGATTGAATTATATGATGTCATAATCGTAATAAAATTATGATCTAATATAGATATTGTCAAAACATAACATAGACCATGTAATGTTACATTCGTTCCAATGTCGAATGAATAAAAATAAAAGAATAAATTATGATTACTCCTACGTGATAGGATTTAATTATTTAACAATTTTATACTTTTTTTTAATGTACTACTAAGTTTTAAAATATTTATTTTATCTTAATTTTTTTTTTAAATATTAATAAGTAAAAAAATTAGTGTGACTTATAGATAAATAAGACTAATAAATACGAGTTACAATTACTACACCTAATATAAAATCAAGGATTTCTGGGTATAATTCTAAGGCCCAATGTCAGGTTCAGGTTGTGTCCACAAGGTGTGAGCCCAATTCATAATCAGTAACAGACCCAAATGTGTTGGGCCTAATTGCCCGTTGGTTTCCCCTCGGTCGAGCTTCAACATTAAATACTAGAGCCTTTTGTGGGTCATGTACATGTTTTAAAACCATCTAATGGGTTTTGGGTTAGGTTAGCCTTTTTCTCAAGTTCAGACCGATGTGTTCGGCCCGTGAGATCTATCACGGCCTATTTTAATGATCTAATTTTTTCATCTCGTAAAATTCACCATACGTATCGTTTATAAAAAAAATTAGATCTACTTTTTAAACTTAGTGATGTGTTAAGAAGATAATTAATTGACTGATCACTAGGTCTAGAAAGTGAGACTAAAAATTAAATGTGTATCATTTTTTCTATAGCATTTATGTACAAAAAAATAGATGATAAATGTATTTTTGAAAATAAGCCATATTTTTTTAACTTATATTTTATTCATATTTTACTTATCAAAATTTTTTTCTTCATTTTTTTTTAGTATTGCTATTCAAGACCAAAAAGTGGACCAAATTTCCAAGCCTAAAGATGTGGTAATTAATTAAGATATTAAAGGTAATACTTTCTCTCATATTTTATTTATTTATCAATTAATCATATTACTTACACATCATTGAGTGCCGTTTTGGGAACCAAAATAAAAGGCCACGTTTTTTATCTTTGGTCCAAAAACGCAAGTGGCAAAAACGTAACAAAATTGGTTTGGGAAGTTATAAAAACGCAAGTGTGAAATTATAAATTGGGGCGTATGACAAAAAAATAAAAAAATAAATATTTTATGTTAGGTAAAGATATTTTAATCATTTTAATTTAATTTGACACCATAAACAAATATTAAATTAAAAAGTCAAAAGTCAATTTTTTACCAACTTCTCAAATCACTTTTCAAAAAGCTAAAAAGCTTGGTAAAAAGTCAAAAATTAATTTTTTACCAACTTCTCAAAACATCTCTAAGTCTAGAAAATAGGTCTAGATTTTGGACTTGTACATCATTTTCTTTTTTCAAATCTCTATTCAAATTAATAATCAAAAGACAACATAAAAATCATGTGTCCAATGCGGATTGTGATCCTCTCCAATGGTGAGTGTAATGATTTGCTTTAAAATTTAAATAATTATAAATTTATATTCTTATTTCATAACTACTAAATTTGTAATAAAAATTCTCCATTACATATATAGGATCGAACTCCGTAAGGCGGAGCCTAACCATATAGCAGTGGACATCCACTAGCAATGCCACTAGTACACAACAACATATAAAAATTTTAATTATTAATTTTTTTTTCCTTCTTGAAAGTATAAATTTTGTTATAAAAAATATTTGGACATTAATTTGAATTATCGCGAGAACAGTCACTAAAAAGTCGTCACGAAAAATCAAAAAATAAGTTTTTAGGAATAAAATTTTGAAAATGTCGTTCATAAATATACTTTTAGAGACAACATAACTTGGTTCAAAAATGTTTATAATTCATCACCAAATAACAAATTTTTTTACTAAAAATAAAATAATAACACTTTTTACGACAAAAATATTTTATTTTTAAAAAGTGATTTTATTTATAAACTTTTGTCTCTAAACTTTCTTGCATTGGTGTAAGGTTTGATGCAACAAAAACAAATTGCAGTAAAGATATACTTGTATAGCACTGGAATTTTTTTTGGGTGAATATATATAGCACTGAAATTTGAATAATCTTGGAACATTTAATATCACAAGCTAAGTCGTGATCGTTGGATTTTTATTAATTGTTAGGCATCATTTAGAAAAATTCACAACATTAAACAATGGAAGAGAAACATTTGATGCTTTCCTCCTCTACTTAACCAATTAAAATAAGAATTAAAATATTAAACAGTGGCAGAGAAACTATTTCTTCCATCTTCTAGATATATGATTTATAAAATAACAATTCATCAAAGAAAAATAAATGGAGTTAGTCCATAAGCAGCAGCCACCAATTATTGACATAAGATTTGGATGAGGATTGTGCACTTTATTCTACGTGAATTCACTTTATTCTACGTGTATTCGTTTGGGAAGTGGATTGATTTTTTAATTATTTTAATTTGAAATTAAAAAATTTTGTTTGGAAAGAGTTTTTAATTTTTTTGTTAGAGAAAGAATATAATGATTATGAGTTAAATGTGATATTTTGTCTTATTAGGCTAAAAAGTTTTTTTTTTTTAATTTTTTGTGACTAAAATATCCAAAAAAATCTCAAACTTGACTTTCCAAACGAAGCATTTGACAACATATAGTTAAAAGTCAAATTTTTAATTTTTTTTGATTTTTTAAAATTATATCACCTTGTTATTTTTTCAAACATTTTTTCAAAATAATAAAAAAAGACAAAAAATTAACTTTTAACTTACATTTCAAAATAGCCCAAAAAACCCATATACTCATGGTACAAAATAGAAAGTATTCCGGATCTCAAATCTGTAGCTTATGGGCTATTTTAAAAAGATGATTAAAAGTTATTTTTTACTTTTTAACGTATTTTGGATCATATTATTTTTTTTATTTTTTTATATGTTTTTTTTAAAAGGAAAAAAAAAAAACAAAAACAAAAACAAAATATTTTTAACTAATTTTTCAAAACAACCCTATATAATTAAAGTTGTTATTCGTATCACACTGTCAATAAATCTTAATTTTGAATTACAAATTTTGAACTATTTTTAGTGCAACCTCGTGATACATTTCATGTCAATTGATTTTTTTTTTTTTTTTTGTTAATTTTGTATGTCTGAATATAATTATCATTACCTTGGAGTAGGGCCTTTTGAGATGTAAAGTTTTCAATTAAAGAATTATTATGTGTGTATAGATATTGTTTGAAGTATGTATCCAACACAAAATCAAAAAGCATTTTGAAAAGTAAAGTTTTTAATTAAAGAATTATTATAAATTATTAAATTACTTATTTTATTTTATTTATTTATTTGTTTCGTAAGAAGTAAAAAAAAAATAATATTATAATGCATCGCTAATTTTTAAACGGAAGTGTTTTATACTCCCACGACTCTACGACCTCTACGCATCCGTGAGGCAGAGGGGAGAGCAGAGAAAAAAAATATATATATATATATATACATAATGGAGTGATGATCACTAGACATCATGAGGTCACAAAGTTTGGGTCTCAAGCTTCATTGATTTCGAAATGTTGATTCCAAGTAGAATGAGGTCATGGCATGCGATGGAGTGATGATCACTAGACATCATGAGGTCACAAAGTTTGGGTCTCAAGCTTCATTGACTTCGAAATGTTGATTCCAAGTAGAATGAGGTCATGGCATGCGTCAGCAACATCAACATCAACATCTAACATCATGATCTTCTGTACATTCATAAATTTCATTGGGAAAATCATTAAGGCTAATCAGACCAACATGTGCGAAGGGTTGTTTTCGCAACATCGTTAAAAATTAATTTTTAAATTTTTAAATTTTTTCAATCAAAAAAATTATGAAAAAGTTAGGTCTTGTTTGGTTTATTTATATTTCAAGAGTAATCAAATCAAATCAAATAATTTTTTTTAAAAAAAAATTTAAAATTTTGTTTGGTTACCTACTTTTCAAAATCATTCTCTCTCTCATACGCATCAAATCAATCACTTTCTTTTAAAACTTTTTCCCTAAAATAATATTTCAAAATTATTTCTGAAAAAAGACAAACCAAACAAGTTTTCGTATTTTTTATCTCAAAAACTACTCTACAAACACAAACCAAACACACTCTTAGTTTTTTTTGGCATAAAAATACAAAAAATTTAAAAAAATCAAAAAATCAATTTCTAACTAACTTTTCAAAACATTCCGAAACATAGGGTTCTTTTTTAAAAGAGAAAAAAAAATAGGGGAATTTTTTTTCAGGTCCTTGGTATTAAGACTTTACAGTATAAAGGACACTTAATATTTTCATAATGTCTAAGGTCGCTCAAGTTGATTCAGAGAAAATTGGTCCAGAGAAAATTGATCCAGAGAAAATTTGTCCAGAGAAAATTCCTCAATATTTTCATAATTTCTTCACCTGTTTGAATTTGCAGCGTTACCACCATGGGTTTGTTTACATAGTCCAGAGAAATTCTTTGGTTTAGACTGAATTTTCTTTAGTCTAAACTGAATTTTCTCTAGACTTTCTCTGGGTTGGTCCAGAGAATTTCTCTGGTTTGGTTGGTCTGAATTTTCTCTGGATTGTTGGACTGAAATTTGAGAACTGATGCATACTTACCTTGATTGAATTATCCATGAGATTTGTGATGATTTGCCGAAATCTACCTGGATCTCCATAATACTGAAATTCTTGAATTGGGAAAATTCAGTTTAAAAACCAAAGAATTTCTCTGGATCAACCCTGAGAAACTTCAGTAAAACCAAAGAATTTCTCTAAACCAACTCAGAGAAAATTCAATTACAAAATTAAAGAATTTCTCTGGTTTCAACCTAGAGAAAATTCAGTTAAAAAACCAAAGAAAATTCAGCTGAAATCACCTTATCATGCAGAGACAATGATTCGTTTGCTCGTCCATGCTGGGCCATCCCAACTATAATTGAAGTCCAAGAAACTATATCTCTTCGACACATAGTATCAAAAATAGTCTTCGTTGCTAGTATGTCACTACATTTAGCATCCATATCAACAAGTGCATTACTAACAAATAAACTATATTCATAACCAAGAGATAAAACTAAGCAATGGATCTGTTCTCCAAGCTCCAATGCTGCTAAATTAGTTGAGGCTCCAACAATGCTTGAAAGAATAAAAGGGTCTACAATATCAACCCCTGCCCTCCTCATTTCAATGAAGAGATTAAACCCATCAATCCATTGTCCACTCTATACCAACCCAGATATCAAAGCCGTCCAAGAAAACAAATTCTTCTCCGCCATACCACGCAAGAGTTCAACAGCTTCCGATTTTCATCCACTTCGGGCATACCCAGAAATCATAGCTGTCGAAGAAACTAAATTCTCCGCCAAACCAAAGAATTTCTCTGGATCAACCCAGAGAAAATTCAGTTCAAATCATAGAATTTCTCTGGACCAATCCAGAGAAAATTCACTTTAAGCCAGAAAAATTCTCCGGATCAACCCAGAGAAATTTCAATTCAAACTAGAGAATTTCTCTGGTTTCAACCTAGAGAAAATTCAGTTCAGGTGATCGTGATTTACCATTTCTTTTTGATAATGGATCATCTGAATCAGCTTTTCACTGCCAATGCAAACCTGCTATTCCTTTGGTTCTTCATGTGATGATTGAGCCTTAAAAGCTTCAAATACTTCTAGACCACATCCTTGGCGAAACGCTTCGAAGAACCGTTCTCAGAGCTCTGCTTCCGTGAATTGCTTCTCGAACTGTTCACTCTCGTAAGCAGTGAGAAAATCGAAACTTCCTCAACCTTACATTTCTCAACGAAACGCTTGCTCTGCTGGTAAGTCACCGGCGACGCATCGGCGGACTCGATTTTCTCCAATTTCGGCTTCTTAAACAACATAAACACACGAAACTTCGGCGGAGATCTCAGGAACCAAATCGGAGACAAAGGCTTGGTTCCTTTAAAAAAACACATCGTTAGGAGATACAACGAAATCAGACTCGATCACGCCGTCCTTTTTATAGCCAAATCGTTGTACGAATCTTCGTAGTGTCCGAACCATCGTCCTTGTCTTCCTTCTCGTCAGAACCTGGCACAGCAAATTCCAAATCGAAGAAAGTCTCTTCTTCCTCATCGGATTCAACCGGCTGACGGTGGTAGAGCGGAGGGAGGAGTCGGAGGAGAAGGTGTTGAGGAAGATGTCGTAGAGGATGGTGGAGGAGCAGAGAAGAGAGAGAGAGGAGAGACAAATTTCTCTGATATATGTTTAGGGACCTTAGGCATCAGAAAATAATTTTGTGGATCTCTTCTATTAAGAAAAGTGGGAGAGGACCCTACACTAATTTTTCCAAAAAAATAAATAATAATTAAAAATCAATTTTTAATTCATTGTATGTCATATTTTTTTCATATTTTTTTATATATTTTTTCAAAAAAAATTAAAAAAATTAAAAAATTAACTTTTAAAGAGCTTATGTTTGAAAATCAAGCTACCCAGCGTGCTATACCACAAACATCCTACTATCTTTGTAAAATTTTAGCATTTGTTTATTTTACCTTGCGTAGGTTTATCTCTATGTTATAAAAATGCACATTCATTAAGAGCTTGTTTGGAAAGTCTCCGTTTGAGATTTTTTGGCTAAAATAATTGTAAAAAACAAAATCAATTTTTCAGTTCAATATGATAAAATATCACATATAAATCATAATTATTATATTCTTTATCTCATAAAAAAGTCAAAAAATCTTTCTTAAATGAGACTTTCACTATAACAAATATGAATTTTAGAGACCAAATATTTTGGTCTTTAAAAATAAATTTTTTTTTACAAAAGACATTTAGAAATCAATTTCTATCGTCATGAGAATAATCGCTAAAAGGTCGTTTCGAAAAGTCCAAAACAAGGCTTTAAGCGACAAAATTTGAAAATGTCACTAATAAATAAACTTTTAAGGACTAAATAATTTGGTTTCAAAATGGTTTATTTTTTAGACAAAAAATTTGATCCCAAAAGGATAATAATTCATCACAAATGTCTAATTTTTGTTGTTAAAATATAATAACGACACTTTTCGCAACAAAAATATTTGTTCCCTAAAAGATAATTTTGTTCCTAAATTTTAGTTTCTAAAAACTTTAATTTTTTATAATGTTTTTAGCTCCAAGTTAAAATAGTTAAAAAGTAAAAAAAACTAATCCACTCCCCCAAATCAACACTAAATTATGTCATAATTTTCAATATTTAACAGTTAGAGTTGTTTTGAGACAAAGGATCCTTAGCTAGTTTAATCATAGAGAACTATGTTAGATTTCATGAAAAATATTTTATGAAGATGATTATGAAATAGTCATCATTCTTGTATTATATCTTGTGACTTATTACATATGAAATCTATAATAAAAAAATATTTCATAATCATCTTCATGAAATATTTTTCATGATATCTAACATTAGTCAATCACAAAATTAATTGTTAACACAATTTTAAGTAGAATAATCTCTTTATGTTGTGTTTAGACCAAAAATTACACAAAGTATTTGCGAAGGGAAAACAACAATGTAAAGAAAATGAAGAAAATGAGGTTAAAAGTGAACAAAACATATATATTTTTTCACTTTTATTTTCTCTACAAATCATTTTCAAATTTTTTATCCAAACAGACTCTTAATAAAAGACCTCACATCTAATGTGCATTTTTTGAATTACCTTTTGCAATAATGTTGGGCACTCATAAACCAAAAATAAAATCTAACACAAAAAATACATCAATAATTAAGATTTTATAAAAATTATTTGTTAGGACCCACTTCTAGAAAATGTCTATCCATTTGTTTTCTTGGTCTAAATTTTGTATCAAAGTTGTCCAATCATATATTTTCCTTTTGTGACTAATTTTGTGACACCAAACTGATTCATGTATATAAGAACGCTAATTTCACACTCACCTATCCCTTACTCCTAAACTAAACACGCACAAACAAGCAAGTACTTTAGCATCATCAAGTAGTCCCACCCCACCCCACCGCACCGCCGACATGGACCACCAGCCTCACATACTCCTCGTAACCTTTCCAGGCCAAGGCCACATCAACCCATCCCTCCAATTCTCAAAACGCCTCATAAAAATGGGTGTCAAGGTCACCTTATTGACTGCCTTCTCTGCCCTCAATCGCATGACCAAAGCCATCCCAACCCCACAAGGCCTAACCATTCTAGGCTTCTCCGATGGCTACGACGACGGTTTCAAACCCGGTTACGACCGCCTTCACTTCTTCTCCGAGCTGACTAAACACGGCTCACAAGCAGTCACAAATCTCATCACAGAGAGCTCCAACAATGGCCGACCTTTCACACGTCTCGTCTACACTACCCTTCTCCCCTGGGTAGGTCAAGTGGCACGTAGACTAAACTTCCCTTCCACATTTCTTTGGATTCAACCAGCCATCACTTTGGATATCTATTACTATTACTTCAATGGTTATAGTGATGATATTCAAAAAAATGGAAATGATTCTTCGTGGTCGATTGAGTTACCGGGACTTCCACCACTCTCTAGCCGTGACCTTCCTTCGTTTTTACTCCCTTCGAATCAGCTCGCTTTCGCAGTTTCTTTGTTCAAAGAACATATTGAGTTTCTTGAAGCAGAAACAAATTCAACAGTACTCGTGAATTCATTTGACAAGTTGGAACCAGGGGCTTTGCGAGCAATTGAGAAGCTTAATTTGGTTGCGATTGGACCCTTGATTCCTTCTGCTTTCTTGGATGAGAAGGACCCATCGGACACTGCTTTTGGGGGTGATCTCTTCAAAACATCAAGAAATTGCATTGAATGGTTGGATTCGAAGGAGAACTCATCTGTGGTGTACGTATCATTTGGAAGCGTTTGCGAGTTGTCGAAGAACCAAATTGAGGAGATTGCACGCGGCTTGTTAAAAAGTCAACGACCATTCTTGTGGGTGATCAGAGCGACAGCAACGAATAGTGAGAATGAAGAAGAACATAAATTGAGCTGCGAAGAGGAATTGGAAAAACAAGGGATGATAGTGCCGTGGTGTTCTCAAGTGGAGGTTCTTTCGCACCCGTCTTTGGGATGCTTCGTGACTCATTGTGGGTGGAATTCTACGTTGGAGGGCTTGGTTTGCGGGGTTCCTGTGGTGGCGTTTCCACAGTGGTCTGATCAAGCAACGAATGCGAAACTTATTAAAGATGTGTGGAAAACAGGGGTGAGGGTGACTGTGAATGAAGAAGGGGTAGTCGAAGGTGAAGAGATTGAGAGGTGCATAGAGATGGTGATGGAAAGTGAAGAAATGAGGAGGAATGCTAAGAAATGTAGAATTATGGCAAGGGAAGCTGTCAAGGAAGGTGGATCTTCGGACTTCAATCTTAAGGCTTTTCTAAGTGAGATTGGAATCTAGATGGTTTACTTGATACATGTGGGAATGGTGTATTTTGTTTGGGGTTTGGCTTCTTTTTAGTTGCCCATCTTAACGTGCGAATATTTGGGTTTGGTAGGTGTATTTTGAGACTTAGGCCAAGTTTGGGAAGACTAAAAAAGTGTACTTTTTGTCTTTTTGGACTAAAAAATTGAGGTTGAAAATATGGATGTTTGGGTTAACATTTTGACTTTTTATTGAAAAATGTGTAATAAAAAATTGTAAAAATTAATTTATAGGGAAAAATTTGAATTGGGAGTTGTGCAGCCGTAATTGTTGACTTTTGGTGAATAGTGTTAACTTTTTAACTTTTTGAGTAACTTTTTGGCTTTTTGGCTTTTTTGGATATTCCCAAACTTGGCCTAATTTTAATAATTTAAATAGTTTATTTTTAGAGTTTTTTGAATAAAATATTAATGTAAAAAATCAAGACAATCGGACATAAGTAGCTATATATTTGAATTAAATTTGTATTATAAAAAATAGATGGTCATTTTTAAAAATTATAGGGTTCGTTTGGTTTGTATTTCTAAAAAATTTTTGAAAATTTTTTTCTACAAATAAGTTTTTAAAAGTAATCAAACCAAACAAATTTTCCCAAAAAAATTTCTCAAAACTTGTAAACCAAACAAGTTTTCCAAATAAATTTCTCTCTCACACACATCAAATCAATCACTTTTTCTAAAATTCTCTCTCAAAATAATTTTCCAAAACATCTTTTGGAAAAAATCAATCCAAACAATTTTTCGTACTTTTTATCTCTAAAATACATCTCTCAAACACAAACCAAACATACCCTATATTTGTCATCTATTTTTTTAAAACAAATATAAGTCAAACTTATAGTTACTGATATTCAATCATTTTGATTTTTTTTATGAATATTATACTTAACGAGTTTTAAAATGTGAACGATTTGAATTATTAAAATTGATTACAAAATAAGATTATCAAGTCTAAATATTCTCTTAAATTAAGATAACAATTTAAAAGAACTGAAACTCATTTGTTAAATAATAATGTGTTAATAATGTTTCATATCAGATTTCTACTCATGCGAATAGTACCTTCAGAAACACCTATGTCACATAATGTTTTTTAATGTTATAAGTTAGTGATAGCTCAGTTCGTGCAGCTTTGCAATGTTGCTTTGTAGTTTTAGAATGAAATTACTAAGAGTTGAAGTTTCATACGGTTCTCCCGGAGTCCAGATATTCTGTCATAGTTTCTTGTAGTGGTTCCTATAGTGATCTTCAAAACGATGTCGTTTTATTTATTGATTTTTTTGTAATTCAAAATTTTGATTTCCTTCTCTTTTCACTTCTCTGTATCATCTTCTTTGCTTTGCATCATCGATTTGAGTCCATGAACCCTAGCACAGAGAGAGAGAGAAGCATCGCAAGAGGCGTCTGAAAGTCAAAGTGAGAAACTAAGAGAGAGACGGAGAAACGAACGCGATATATATATATATATATATGATTCTTGGGTAGGGATTAATTTATTTATATAGTTATATTAGAAAATTGGGCCAAAGTGTAATTATCTTAAATATTTATTAAGATAAGTATAAATCTATGTAATTTATGATCAAATCTGGGAAGGGATTTGAGCTACCACGTGTTGGACTCAGGAGGCTTTTATCTCCCCATAAATAGGGAGGAGTTGATCAACTCTGTGGAAAAGAAAAGGAAAAAAATAAAGGGAGAGAGACACGTAAGAGCATCTCCAATGCACTAAGCATATAATACTTGTTAGTTAAAATGCCTAGTGTGATTTACTTTTTTCAATTCCAATGCACTAGGCATATGATTAGGCATTTTGACTCAACTCATATTCACTAGCTACATGTAGCTAGCCTTCAACGCTAGGCAAAATGTATTCAATCATTAGGATCATTTCCCTCCATCTTTGTTGTTGACGTGGCATTCTATAAAATTAATAGTATTTGGATAAATAGCTAAAATAAAGAGCATGGTTGAAGTAAAAACATAAAACAGTTGATAGGCAAAAAAAAATATACACTTTATACTAATATTTAGATAGGTAAAATGCCTACTACCATTGGAGATGCTCTAAGTTGCTAGTAGTAGGAACTTATAGTAGGAAGGTTGTTGTCACGCCCCACTTTTTATTACTCGAAGCATTACCAATTTCATTTACTTAATTCTATTTCAGAGATAACATGCGGAAATAAACTCGTATATTCAACTCATAGAAGTGAATAGTATTGCTCTCATTCGAATGCAAGTAAATACAACATGAGTATAATAAATAAATTGCCCTCAGGCTTCCAACATTAAATAGTCAAATGAAGGGTGCAACCTTTTTACATATATGGCGTTCCGCCTACAACAAAGAGGCCCTGTGGCCAACAAATAAGAAGATCCAAATCTTGTAGTACATCCTGCTAAACACCTGAAAAAGATTCAACAACGTGGGATGAACATATAGTCCAGTAGGGATCTCAATATGGCCCTCAACAATAACAACTTACAGATAGCTATGATCATGAATGCTTAATCTCATACTAGAATAGTAATGTGACAGTTTATACAAAATATATATATATATATATGTATGAACTTTTCTCGAAAACAACCATTTCATTCAATGCTATAAATGATTCATCTTTCTTTTCCTTTCATTAAACCCCGTTCCCAATCTTTCATAACATTAACAATTTCTTAGGAAATAAATTCACTAAGCCCATTACTCTCTTCCATTTTTCCACACATACTATAGATGTGCCCTTTTCAAAACATGTTTCTAAAGTGTTCGATCTTCTTTACGTTACCAAAAGACAAAAGGCATTTTGGTTCATTCCCAATTCAATCATAACTATACATGCATAAGATAAACCAATGAGGCAACTCGGCCCTCTAAGACTGTAAATCATGATGTTCTCAGATACACTGAAACAACAACAACAACTAAACTTTGCTCTACTAGTTATATGCGTAGTAAGCCAAAGATACACCTTTCACAACAACAAGCCAGTTTACCAGGCGCTAGCTGGAGGGGTATGGTACCTTCGATTATTAGCGCAGACAGTTCTCCAGGCGCTAGCTGGAAGGTCACGGTACCTCTGATTATTAGCTCAGGATATAACACCACCAACCAAATACAGCAAGGCACAACCAACATGTATAACACATACACATAAACCGTCCAGATACAAACAATGTGTTAAAGTATATGAATACATAACTACCTTTTCCCGAGCAAGCATACATATATAATGTATCTCAACACTTCATCACATACGATGTTCCATCAACAATGGTATAATGCATGCACGACAATTCAACACAACCGTGTCATCCTCCACCGATGACCAAGGACAAAACCTCTAGATGCAAATATTTAGTACATCTATTAAGGACTCAACTACTATGAGACCATAAACCCAACAACGGCATTAACATGGTAGTTAAAGCTATGATTCCCCACAAGTGTGTGTTCAACACTCAAGAAACAACAATCCAATTTTCATACGTATTTCAAAAATACTTTTCCCATTTCGCAAAACAAGTTCCACTTCCCTTCTGTTTTCGCAAAACCAACTCCGTCCCTTTTGTAGTCACAAAACTAAATCCATTCCTTTTGTTTTACAAAACCATTTCCATTGATAATAAAGCCATGACTCACATTAGTCCATTACATTAATTTCAAACCATTCCAAAGCCAAAGTTAACCCCTTAGGTATTAACACCTTCACCCAACCCTCATCAACAATAGAGATTTTCAAAAGGGTTCACTATCCTCCATTTTAATTTATCAATCAAAATATGATTTAGGGCTTTTTCTTCTATCAACTACAACATGCTAAATTACACTCCAATTAGCCCAAAACAACCATCAATGATAACATAACCATTTTTCAAACACCCAACCCTAGGTTCCTTCTCATGATTTCAAACAAATTCAACATGGATATGGTTTTCATCCAATACAAAATTACCACATGTCTATCTATAGACGAAGTATTGAAAAAGAACAAGGAAATCCCTACCTCAAGTTCGGAGCTCAAATGGAGAAGATGAAGAATCTCGAAGTTGCTCCAAATCTCAAAATTTCCGGATCAAAACGAAGCCCTCGACAATCAACACACTTTTTACAAAGGCTCAAGGTGAGAAAAACACTCTTACTAGATCAAACCCTAGAAAGAAGTTAGGTTTCAGAGTGAGGAGCTCTCAAAAATCGGTTTTGGGAAAGTAAGAGAGAGAAAGGAAATGTAAAAAGTGATTTAAAATAGCCTAGCTGTCAACTGATATACGACTCTCTCGCTCGAGCGGAGAACACAACACTCGAGCGTCAAGGGCAAAAAGCTAGGTACGCTCGAGCGCAAGAAGGCCCGCTCGAGCGCCAAGACACAAGAATAAAGTACATCCGCTCGAGCGCGAAAACCAGTCTGCTCGAGCGTAGATTTCTCCCTCCCAGAACTTACACCAAAAGTACAACCCGCTCGAGCGCTAACAAGCCCGCTCGAGTGTGACCCGCTCGAGCACAAGAAATCAGCTCGAGCGTAGAAAACACATCTACAGAAGTTTTGCAGAGGCACGAAATACTGAAACTGTGAAAACCCCGCTCGAGCGTAAGAAGACCCGCTCGAGCGGACCGCTCAAAAACTGGGCAACAACAATGGGAGCTAAAGCTCTACCAACCTGAAACAACCGAGCCCAACTTGTTCTAAAACTCAAACAAAAGAGTTTAAAGGTTGACAACACGATAGGTACAACTACCAACTCCATGGAACTGCGTCCGGAAAACAACAGAACGGAAAAGGGATAACCGGGATCGCTATAACCTCCCCCGCTTAAAGAATTTCATCCCCGAAATTAAGGATATGCCAAAACACAAGGCCAACGGATAGCACAACACCAACACCCAAGTACTAGGAGAGGAACTATTCTCCCTACGAACCTTCGATTCACTCTTACCAAGGAAGAGACTAACCAAGGGAACACGCCCCAAACGACAACACTAGGGCACAAACGCCACAACAAAACCAAACCCTTCTCGAAACAGTTTACCAACAACCGACTAGCGCTTCGAGCTAAGTCACTACTCAACAACCACAATTTCCAATAAAAGGATAATCAAGGCAAATCTTCTACATTAATATAAGGAAAACATTTTCTTGCTCATGAGACATTTCAAAATAAACCTTACATTTTTGACG